ATTTACATGAGATAAATACCACATAGTGCAATAATAGAATATGTCGAGTGTTAAACAAGAAAAGTACTATGCATATGGTCTATTTAGAAATTTATTGAAACTTAGGGGATAATGGTAAAACAGCCTTAGGCAATCAGGGCAAGGCGCCAAGGCCGAATCGGGCAGAGTCGACCAGGACATTGGCCCCATCGGGCTTTTCGTGAGGCAGGCTGAGAAAATCTATGTTGCAGCCTGCTTGATCTTTGAGCCCATTTGGCTCTCCAAACCCTTGTTAGCGTATATTCCCCTAAGGCATCGTTCGCTTTCTCCGGAATGGGCTGTTCCAGGCCGGAATTATTCCGGTCGTTATATAAATTATTGAAGAAATTCTCCGTTCCAGGTCCGGCTGGGAACAGTTCATAGGAAACCGAACGGGGCCTAAATCTATAAACCGGATTGGCCCCTTGACTATTTTTATTGGTACTCTGTAGAATCGATTTGGATAGAGCATTTAGGTTGTGTGTTCAATTTTCTTAGTTCACAGCTAAGTTGAATGATGGTTGCTTTGTTGTTGTGCCACAGAAATATGATGAATGGGTTCACAACTATCACTGGAGCTTGCTGACCATTCAGTCCTTCTACCACATGAATGGACAGATTTTTGAAGGAACATGATGATCTCATAGAGATAAGAATTTGAGGGACGTGGAAAAACTGGTTGTAGAGAAATAAGAGTTAATAATTTTTAGTGTGTTCCATCTATATAGGTTATATAGATTGGACCAATGGTGAAGTGGTTACATAAAATTGTGCTGTATCAAAGTTACTTTGCGTTCTATGTAGTTTGGGTCGTCAACGTCAACTAACTAGAGAATTTACTAGCAAATAACCAAAAGTGGACCAAAGAAGATTCAAATAATTTGAAGCTAGGTACCCTAAGATAAAACATGATTTTGGGGAAAACTGGAAACCGACTCCATTTTTTGCAAGATCTAACAAATTTCTAAGAATAAACAATGGTTTTATATTATATTTTTAATTGCATAAAACTTTTGAAGAAAAGATTATTTAGACATTTTTTAAATTATATGTGCATACATTTTTTTAAATGTATTTTTTAATATAGTTTATTTGATCCTCAAACTATCAATGCAGTCCTACCTTGCTCATTGCTAATTTAATGCCATGTGCACCAATGTGGCAACACATAGGCTAAAACCATTGTCTAAACCGCTGAGGGTGCAAAAACAAACAGTTTTACACAACTTAGATTGTGCCCCAAATCACCTTAAACCGCAAAACACAAAGTAGAGAGATTTGGGATTGGGACTCTTACCCTGGAGGAGCCATCTAGCGGGTGGAGGGCTGCGTTGTCGCGGCCCCTTTAGCCATCGGCCGATGGAGGGTGAAGGGGGCGGCCTGTCGGTGGAGGACATAGGGGGCCGCAAACCCTAGCGTCTAGCTGCCGGGTAGACGCGGTGGCAGACGCGCCGACTAGGTCGGGGGTCGGGAGGAGGCGGCGGGCGGCTGCTGGTTGACGGCGAGAGTCTACATGGGCGACGGCGCACCCAGGTCTCGCGATCGCGGCCCCATCTCGACTCGCGAATTGCTATACCAAGAGGAAAAATTCTAGCGACTTCAATTTGGAGGAGGGGTAGTCTCATCTTTTCCTGTGTCCTGAACAATGAAAAGAAACAATTGGAAATACAAAATGAGAGAAATCCTCCAAAATCGCTCATATCCAAAGAATTACCATGCTCAAGGTTAAATTTCGAAAGGCTTGCGAATTGAATGTCAATTGTAGAGAGGCGTCGAATTGAGGGTTAAATATCAAAATTTATCCTGCTCGGGGTGCTGTCCGTAGCATGTTAGTGTTGTGCGCGAGCACAGAGGCGAGCTACTGGTGCTGCATGCTGCTTGTTGTGCGCGATGGAAGGAGAAAGGAGAGGGAGGTGGGCCCCATATTGAGTCCGCTTTATTTCAGCGAGGGGTCCACGCGTGGATGCACCGCCGTGGTGGTCGTGGGGCCACGCTTGTGGACGTTGTCAGGCAAGCAGAGCACGCTAGAGAGGTGGGGGACGGGCTGAATAGCCCTGGGCAAATTTTACCGAGAACCGAACCAAAAAAACCGAGAATCGAACCGAATTTACTGAGAACCGAAGTCTCAGTTCCCTGTTCGGTTCTCATTTCTGAGGAACCAAAATTTGTTCGGTAAAATCGGTTCCCCCCTCGGTTAACCGAACTAACCGAGGAACCAAAAATAGTGTAGTAGTGTGATGTCTTAGTGTCTTGCACTCTGACTGAATGCTGATGTCTTGCTTTAGAAGTTAGCACTCTATTTATGTATTTGTTACTCTGTTTGACAGTTATATTTGTCACTTTGGTTTTGTATGCAATCCTGCTGAAATGCTGTCAAAATTTGCTATTGAACATGCTGTTACATGGATTTTGGGTACTGTTCAGTTTTTTGGTTCTACCCGGAATCGAACCGAAAGAACCGATACCGAACTTGGTCGGTTCCATGTTTTTTGAAGAATCAATCGGTATTGGTTTTCTGAGAACCGAACTTCTTCAAAACCCGAAGAACCGATCGGTTCGGTTCGATAGAACCGAACGCCCAGGGCTAGGGCTGAAGATGTCGTTGCTACAGTGTGCAGGATATATGTTTGGGAGAGAGGACTGGGACACATATATGAGGTGGACACAGAATGAAAGGAGATTAAAATAGAGCTCAAATGATTATTAGTTTTCAAAATAATTTTTGAAAATAATTTTGAGTACAAGTGATTTTGAATTTTAATTTTCAGGATGTTATACACAGAGACCCACTTGTCCATGAAGAAGGCTTGTGGGATATTCACAAATTTACCTAACTAGGATCTTGGTCCTTATGAGGGGCTCCAATAAGGACCAGTGGAAGCATGAGCGTCTCGATACCTGGGAAAAATACCATCACTGAGAGTTTGCATTCTCTAACTCATTTAAGCTTCCACACTTACTCACGGGCATGGCTCTCTACGTCGCCCACCGCTCGCTCTCCTCACCCCCCGATCTGTTTTCTTCTCTCACCCACCGCTCTCGTCACCTCCCGAGCACAAGCGTGGTTGCATTCACGGCACGACAGCGAGAGGACTCCGGGTGTAGGCGCAGCCGCGGTCGCCTCTCCTCTGAGGTCAAGGCGAAGGGCTTCAATGCGGAGGTGAGCTTGCGCCTGCAGTCGCTGCCATCCAGCACCTCACGTGCCTCGCTACTGCTCGCCATGTCGCGTCCTCGACCTTGCTCCCATACCTCCACCACCTCCACGGCCTCCTCGTCCGCCTCCGCACCTACCTCCCATCGCCATCCACCCCGTTCCTCCTCTCTCGCCTACTCCGTAGCCTCGCCGCCGCTCCGGTACACGGTCGCCATGCTCTCTCCTCCCTCTCGCCGTCGGAAAGGTTCCTCGCCGCCGCGCTGCTCCGCTTCATGCACCTCAATCAGCCGCCCCTGGAGACCTTCCGCATCTTCTCCTGCCTCTGGCGCGCGGACGGCCGCGACCTCCTATTCCTCACGTTTGCAGACACGATGTGAAGGTCACGGCCACCATGGAACGACTGTCTTCAACCTGTTTGTAATAATGTCTGCAAGAAGTTAATGGAAATTGCTTGGTGGTAAGTCTATCACATGCAAGTAACAAACTAGATCTCTAACTACCCTATCTCTACATGAAAACAGAACCAAACACAGTAAACTACACTTACTAGACCGGCCTCTTCCTGCCCTAGTAGAGATCATACTCAGATCGTGCAAACAAACGGGCTCATTAACCATTATATATGTCAATGCCATTCAGAATGATATAGGCGGGCGGCGATATGCGATGAGAATAATGTATACCTAAAGATAGAAAAGGAAGGTAATAATGTGCATGATCTCCTCGGCTCAGACTTGATGGGATGGGAAATTTAATTTCGTAATTACTACTGATTACCAATTTTCAATTTCCGATTATGCGGAAGGATTAATAGGTAGTTGATATTAAATCGGTCGCAGGGGTCTTCACCACGGGCAGATACACGAATCTGTTTGAGTTTTTTTCGTTAAAAATAAAAAATAGACTAAATAGATAGAATAGAATCGATATGCATAGATAGAGAATCGCTTCTTGTATTTAGTAGATGAGTCAACTGGACAATTAAATTAATCAAAATAAAATCAGTAGTACTCTGAACCCTCTCAAAAAAAAAAGTAGTGCGTGTGAAAGAGCCGACATCTGCGTCATGTTCGCTTGGCTTATAAGCAGTGTTTTTTCAACCAACAATCTATATTTTTCTCTCACAACAAATCAGCTAATAGTATTTTTAGCCATGACTTATCAGCCAAGTGAACAGGGCACTGATTTGGACATGGCTGTGCTCCATTTGCAAGTTGCCGCTCAGCAATTTGTTCCACAAACGATCAAGTGCTATTACTAGTATTCTATTAATTCACCTATAAATAGTTATTATAAAGTATAAATGTAATGATAAATTTATAGGTGGAGAAATTACTCACAATTAAAGGAATGTTTACTTTTACCATGGAAAATAACAGACAAAAAAAAGTACTGCCAAGGCGATGAGCATGACACGTGCTTGTTTGGCACTGATATTTGTTTCAAAAGAGGCAACTTAGATCGCAGAATGATTATTCTGAAATCCTTGTAAAATGACAGTGAAGTCTCTCTTAACCTCCCGTTTCCGTCCCACGCTTTCCCGTTTCCGTCCTACCAACCCCTGAGGCTGGAGCCGGAGCATCCTGCCCTGCCTGGTGCCTGCTCTGCTATAAGCAGCTGCTGCTGCACAAAGCAGCCGACGCCGCCGCCCACACGTCTCCTCCACCTCCCCAATCCCCCGTCGTTCGCCTCCCCGATCCGCGCCGCCTCGCCGCCCTCCCCCGCCCCGTCAACCCGGCTTGTCGGTGCGGGAATGCGGGTTCGTCGCGCGGCGCCGTGGTGAGCTATTGATTGGTGGTGGTAGCCCGCCCCGGGCCGGGCACCGGCGATGGGCTGCTTCCCGTGCTTCGGCTCCACGCGCGACGAGGAGCTCAAGTACTACAGCGCCAAGGGCCCCGGCGGAGGCAATGGCGGCGTCGGGCGGGCGGCCGCGTCCTCGTCCACGTCCTCGACCGCTGCCGCTGGCGGTGGAGGCGGCCGGGCGGAGGAGGCCGTGGTGGCGCCGCCGCGCGTCGAGAGGGACCACGCAGGTGCGTGCTGTTTATGCGCGTCTCCCTCTCCCCCTGGGATCGATCGTTTGCTTGGTTTGTTGTTGTTGTTGGGATCGGAACCGGATCCGAGCGAGGTTTGATGCTCGGTGTTAGGTGGTGTTTGGATGGGAGACTAAAATTTAGTAGGGGGGTGTCTGGGAGCATATTGCACGGGGTGTTCGGATATTAATAAAAAAATAAATTATATATCTTCACGAGATGAAATTTTTAAGCCTAATTAATTCTTCATTAGCACATGTTTACTGTGTTGTCAAATCATAAACTAATTAGGCTTAAAAGATTCGTCTAGCAAATTAGTCGTAAACTATGTAATTAATTTCGTAATTAATCTATATTTAATACTCCATGTATGTGTACAAACATTCGATGGCACAACGACTAAAATTAAAAATTAAGTAACACCACCTTAGTCTCTTCGCGGTGGTTGGGTTGGTACAATGGAGCGGCTGATCCCTTGTGCATGTTGATGTCATTGAGGGAAATGACAGGAACGATGCTGTGTTTGCTTCGGATCTTTTTTACAGTATTATTATTAGAGATGGGAGAAGGGTATTTGTTAGAAGGGGAGAAGGATATCGACTTGCATCTCCAAATTCAGAAACTCCACGTGATGATAACCCATTGATTAGAAGCAGGGATATGTTTCCTATTATGATTAGTATAATGGCTTGCTTGTGCATGACTGTGTCTTGATCATGTAGACAATGGATATGTGCAGGGGCTGACAAGGCGCGGGCCAAAGGCAATGCTGGCTCGAAGAAGGAACTTTCAGTTCTCAGGGACGCCAGTGGCAATGTCATCTCTGCTCAGACCTTCACCTTCCGCCAGCTTGCAGCCGCAACAAAGAACTTCAGGGATGAATGCTTCATTGGGGAGGGAGGGTTTGGGCGTGTTTACAAGGGCTGCCTTGACATGGGCCAGGTAATAAGCTTTGTTGTCAAAGCGGGGTTCCACTTTTCTTGTTTCTTGCTGTTGGACAAGTACAAAAGTGGCTCAATTGTACCAATGGCATCATTGATCTGTCTAGGACGACGACGACAACAACAATAAAGCCTTTAAGTCTCAAATAAGTAGGGGTAGGCTAGAGTTGAAACCCAGCAGAAGCAATCAAAGTTCAGGCACGTGAATAGTTATTTTCCAAACACTCCTATTTAAGGCTAAGTCTTTGGGTATGTTCTATCCTTTCAAGTCTCCTTTTATTGCCTCTATCCAAGTCAACTTCGGCCTTCCTCTACCTCTCTTCACGTTACTATCCTGGCTTAGTATCCCACTACGCACCGGTGCCTCTGGAGGCCTCCGTTGGACATGTCCAAACCATCTCAGCCGGTGTTGGACAAGCTTTTCTTCAATTGGTGCTACCCCTAATCTATCACGTATATCATCGTTCTGAACTCGATCCCTTCTTGTATGACCGCAAATCCAACACAACATACGCATTTCCGCGACACTTATCTATTGAACATGTCGTCTTTTCGTAGGCCAACATTCTACACCATACAACATTGCAGGTCTAATCGCCGTCCTATAAAACTTGCCTTTTAGCTTCTGTGGTATCCTTTTGTCACATATGACACTAGATGCTTGGCGCCACTTCATCCACCCTGCTTTGATTCTATGACTAACATCTTCATCAATATCCCCGTCTCTCTGTAGCATTGATCATAAATATCGAAATGTATCCTTCGTAGGTACTACTTGATATTCCAAACTAATATCTTCCTCCTCCCTAGTAGTAGTGCCGAAGTCACATCTCATATACTCAATTTTAGTTCTACTGAGTCTAAAACCTTTGAACTCCAAAGTCTCCAGCCATAACTCCAGTTTCTGATTCACTCCTGTCCGGCTTTCATCAACTAGTACTACATCGTCCGTGAAAAGCACACACCAAGGGATGTCTTCTTGTATGTCCCTTGTGACCTCATCCATCACTAAGGCAAACAGATAAGGGCTCAAAACTAACCCTTAGTCTTATCCTAATCGGGAAGTCATCTGTGTCTCCATCACTTGTTCGAACAATAGTCACAACATTGTTGTACATGTCCTTAATAAGCCCGACGTACTTCGTTAGGACTTTATGTTTGTCCAAAGCCCACCACATAACATTCCGTGGTATTTTATCATAAGTCTTCTCCAAGTCAATAAAAACCATGTGTAAGTCCTTCTCCCTATACCGCTCCATAACTTGTCTTATTAAGAAAATGGCTTCCATGGTTGACCTTCCGGGCATGAAACCAAATTGGTTCATAGAGACCCGCGTTATTGCTCTTAAGCGATGCTCGATAACTCTCTTCCATAGCTTCATAGTATGGCTCATCAACTTAATTCCCCGGTAATTAGTACAACTTTAAATATCTCCTTTATTCTTGTAGATTGGTACCAATATACTTCTCCACTCGTCAGACATCTTGTTCGATCGAAAAAAATTCTTTTTTAGTTTTTATTACATTCCTCTCCCTCCTGATTCCTACTACCATACCCAAAATCTCCATGAACTGCCTCGAAACCTGCGCTTGTAGTACCAACATGCCCATTAAGATTTTCTCCTATAAAAATCTTCTCACTACTAGGTACAGCTCTAATCAGGCCATCTAAGTCGTTCCAGAACTGTCTCTTAGCACTCTCGTCGAGACCTACTTTGGGGGGCATACGCACTAATTACGTTCAAGACCATATCATCAACGACAAGCTTGACTAAGATAATCCTATCTCCTTGCCTTCTCACTCCCACCACACCATTCTTGAGGCTCTTATCAATTAAAACTCCTACTCTATTTCTATTCGCGACTGTCCCTGTGTACTAAAGTTTAAAACCTGTATTGTCCACCTCCTTCGTCTTCTGACCCTTCCATTTAGTCTCTTGAACGCATAATATATTTACACGCCTCCTAGTCGCAGTATCAACTAATTCTCTTAACTTACCTGTAAGCGACTCTACATTCCAACTACCTAAACGGATCCTAGTTGGTTCGACTAGCTTCCTTAACCTTCGCACCCGTCGACTCAGATGTGAAGACCCTTGTTCATTTTTCACTACACCCGGGCGCCGATGTAGCGCGCCACAAAGGAAGCGACGACCCGATCCTTGCTCACTTGACACCATGCCCAGATCGCGATACGGCGCGTCACCAAGGGGGTGCCGACCCGGCCCTTGCCCATTTAACACCATACCCGGGTTCCGATATGGCGCGTCGCTAAGAGGGTTACGCTCCAATGGTTTTCTTTCGGGTTTCATCTTTATTAGAATGGCTAGATTTAACGTTGGCTCGCCACGCCTATCACAACCCTCCTCCTTTACCAGGGCTTGGGACTTGCTATGTTGAGACAACATAGGCGGAGTTATTGATTTGTCTAGGACATTCAAGAAAAAGCAGCGTCTGCACATGTGTGGTGGATGCCCACAGGCACAAAAAATCTGTGTTCACTTATAGCTGCTCCAACTTATACTGGCCTGATAAATGAGGGCACTATAGACTGTTTCATAGGTCCTTCATTTTAAATTCACAAGATGAATGACATGAAACAGACAAACAAGTTTTATGCATGCCATTTGATTCGTATACAATTACTTGAAATCCTGAATTGTAAGATGAGGCACTGCATTAGTATTTTACTGAAATGATGAATAATCTGTTGCAGGTTGTTGCTATCAAACAGCTGAATAGGGATGGTAATCAAGGAAACAAAGAGTTTCTAGTGGAAGTTCTTATGCTTAGTTTGCTGCATCATCAAAACCTTGTCAATTTGGTTGGTTATTGTGCTGATGGAGATCAACGCCTTCTCGTGTATGAGTACATGCCACTTGGATCATTGGAGGACCATTTGCATGGTAAGACTGTTCGTTTCTTTTCTATATTTGTCTTTTGCATATTAGTGCCTGTTAAGTTTCCTGTTTATGGTTACTTGCTGCTACTGTGTGCTGTTCAGTGCATGCTAGTACTTGTCTTTCACATGCCTATTGGAGTATATGCTGCCAATCTGCCATGCTGTCTGGCCCCATCTTTCTGCCAATGTGTTTCATTTTGTCCATGCGCATTAATGCATATTTCCATGATTGTGAGACACTTTTCTCCCATGTCCTTTTGTCCATGCAGCAGGACATAATGTACCCAGTAGCCAATAGTTTTTTTTTTCAATAGTCAATCATCGTTACCTTATTTGGGTGTACTTTTCATATTTGCATCTTGATTACGGGCACAGTAGAATTAAGTGCAGTAGTAGCTCGTTTACATCAACCATTTGAGAGGTTTTCTACATGGCTCTTTATCACAAAATTTATAAAACAAACAAAAAAAATCAGGTTCCAATAGAATCTCTTAAACACTCTCCATCTCTTCCGCTCTCCAAAACCACCCTTCTCGCTCTCCACTAATGGAGAGGTTGTATCATTTCTCTAAATTCAATACATGGTAGTTCTCTTATGATTTTTTCATAGAAGGAAAATTTGATAAACCATTGGAGTATAGAGAATGAAACCGAGAGAGTCCGTTGGAGAGACGGGATATATAAAGAGAATATTCATGTGATCTCTCTAAATAGAGAAATAGAGATTGAAGTTTGGAGAGGCTCATAGAGTTGCAACTATTTATTGTACCTTTCTAGGGAAATCTCTAAACAGAGTAAATAAGGCAACTATATCATTTTTCTGTGGAATTTGTTTACAGATTTGGAGTTAAAACTTCAAAAATTGTTCACTTATATATGATTATACTACCGATGGCATATCCTTATTCTTCATGTGACTGAAAATGTGTTCGAAAAATTACCTTTGTTTAGGTTCATTTTTGTTGCTTATTTCATTTCCCCCTTTATAATTCCTTGGATTGGAATACAATTACTGCTGTGTTACACTTATGTGATAATTAATTTGATTACTCAGATAAAAAGTTCATGTATAATTACTTAGTTGACAGACAGAAGACGCCTCCTGTTACATAAGAATACAGTATTTATAGCAGTTCTGTCATGGCAGTTATTGGAGCCTAGGAAAGAAATAGATCACCAAAACAACAGTAACCCAATTAAGATTTCTTGTGAACTTGGTGTGGTCTACCAATATTGTGCCCGGAAAGGTCATATTTGAACTATGTCATATACTCATGTCAGATGTTCCCAAGAGTGTAGTGGCAACTGTGCACTAGAAACATTTTCTTTTGGGTCAATATTGGGAACAGGAACCAATAACCTGCCAATGTTTGAAGTATTGGTTGTGCAGATCTGCAGTTTCTACAAAATCTGCTGAGAAATTCATTCATATTTTAAGCACTTTGACTTTGTTGCAGTTAAGTGTTGTAGTAGTACTATCAGCAGTGGTATATTTTCTATCTCTGAATCAACTTAGCACTTAATGCAGATCTCCCTCCTGACAAGGAGCCCTTGGATTGGAACACTAGGATGAAAATTGCTGCAGGTGCTGCTAAAGGGCTGGAGTACCTGCATGACAAGGCACAGCCACCAGTTATTTACAGGGATTTCAAGTCATCAAATATTCTATTGGATGAGGGCTTCCATCCAAAGCTATCAGACTTCGGTCTTGCTAAGTTGGGTCCTGTTGGTGACAAGTCTCATATCTCAACGCGTGTTATGGGAACATATGGCTATTGTGCTCCAGAATATGCTATGACAGGACAACTTACAGTTAAGTCAGATGTTTACAGCTTTGGAGTTGTCTTGCTTGAGTTGATTACTGGCCGGAAGGCCATTGACAGCACCAGACCAGCGTCAGAGCAAAACCTTGTGTCATGGGTAAGTTTGTTCAAACTGTTCATGAATCATTTGTTGAATATGCTAAACTGTTGGGTAATCAGTATTTTCTTTGTTGATGTTGGCCTTCCAAGGATTTGTTTGGAAAGTGTATCTAATTTTGATATGGAACTTGAACTGGAACTGAAACTGAATCTAGGAGGTGTATAAGAATAATCAGTCTTTTTATATGATTAGGCATAAGTTCTATGATTGTGATAGCTCTTCATTTCGATGTTAAACTGTTGGATCTGATTGTGATAGAAACTATGTTAGACTCTAGAAATGCAGTCTGAAGTCTACCTTTAGTTTTCTTAAAAAATGTACAAGTATATTTGGTAGTTAGGATTGTAATCAGATATTGCTATATGTATCCAGGGAGGTGAATTGCGCCTCAAATCTCTGTATTATATACCGCCCAAGAGGCTCAATGCAATACATCCTGCTTACAGTCTCAAATAATATCTGGTTGCTTAGATAAATATATGCATACAAGCACATATTACGTCTTGGAAGAGAATGAACATTAGCCATCCTTCTATGATGGTCAATGGTTATGATCTTCCATATGCCTTTTTCAGTTGATTGATGACAATGTAATGAAGTTGATTCTTTATTGGCAGGCACGGCCCCTTTTCAATGACAGGCGGAAGCTCCCAAAGATGGCTGACCCGGGCCTGGAGGGGCGATTCCCTACACGGGGGCTTTACCAGGCGCTTGCGGTGGCATCAATGTGCATCCAGTCAGAGGCTGCATCGCGCCCACTCATTGCTGACGTTGTGACCGCTCTGTCATACCTTGCAAACCAGATTTATGATCCTAGCTTGGCGCACACATCCAAGAAAGCAGGCAGCAGCGACCAGCGGAACCAGGTTGCTGACAGTGGAAGGGTTATTTCCAAGAATGACGATGCAGGCAGCTCTGGCCACAGGTCGCCGAGCAAGGACCGGGCTGACTCCCCCAGAGAGCAGATCCCAGGGGCCGCGAACAGGGGCCAGGACAGGGAGCGAATGGTGGCCGAGGCAAAGATGTGGGGCGAGAACTGGCGGGAGAAGCGGCGAGCTGCTCAGGGGAGCCTGGATTCTCCGACCGGAGGTGGGTAGCGTCGGTCACCAAGGACTGTTTCGCCTGTGCGTGCTGTCTGACTGTTTTTGCCTTTGTGTGGTGAGGATGAAGACAATTGGGTTTCCCCTTTCCCGTGTTTGTTAGGTGTACATTTGTAGGTGTAAAACAAAAGAAAAAGGAACGTTGGGGGGGAAACGGAGGGAGGAGGAGGATGCTTGTTCTGGATGTGTATGAGTCGTGCCTGTAAATCCTCGGAAAATTTTGCAACGGTGAAGGACTAGTTGGAACCCATTCTGTCACATTCGTCCTTTGAGGTTTTCCCCTCTGCCTGTTTAAGCACAGTGTCTTTTGTTGTTCTGTCGGAAAAAAATGTCGGCTTGGCTAGCACTGATCTAAGTGGGCCAGCTTCACATCCATTTCCCCCTGATGTGTCTTCAGTGACAGCGCTATGTACGGCGCAACGTGCTTGTTCCAGCGTGTGGACATCGGTTCTAGAATCAATCAGAAAGTTTGGGATTCGGGTTCTGGAATCAATCGCAAATTTTGGGATTCAACTCGAGGACCTGGCCCTGGGTTCCTTGCTCAGGCACGTTGAAGAGGCTCTGAGAGCTGCTTGGTCAGGTGCTGTTCCGAGATCACAAGCAAACAGGAGCATGTACTTTCTTTTTAGAAAAAAGTTGAAGCCTTTATTAATTATAGTATTTTAGAAAGGCCGTGGCTAGCGTCCAGACTTCGGACACTAGCCCCCCTTCGGCCGCCCGTGCTGCTGCCCCCCGTCTCGCGTCCTGTGCCTGCCTGCCCATGTCTCGCCTACTGCGCTCGCCCGCAAGCATGTGGGGGCCCGCCCGTGCCAATGGGGACCACCTCCGCCATCCCGCGTCTGACACCGAGGCGAGACAACAGAAATGTGAGGATGGAGATGCAGCACTCAATCTAGTTTTTGAAACATCCAGATGCAACAATTGCAACATACGTGTGAAACAAATGAAACATGTGTCTGAAACACTTGAAAACTATTGAAATATATGCAACATCTATATAAAACACTTGCATCGTATGTGTGAAAACATATGCAACATCGAGGTAAACACACTTGTAACATACGTCGAAAAAAACAGATGAAACATTGAGAACAGAAGCTTGCAACATACGTGTACAACCATTGCAACATGTGCAATATCCCGATCTACTTTTGCAACATCCGTATAAAACACTTGCAAAATACCTCTGAAACATTTGAAACAGACGCTTACAACATACAGTTTCAGCGCAAATATCTCCTTGCTGCTTGAAGAATGGAGGCTCGTCGGCATATGGAGTTCACCGGAGGCAGTAGCCCGGCGGTCCTTGTGGGCAGCCGCGCGCCGCATCTGGTGGGGCTGGTAGTCGAGCGCCGCATGCGGGAGCGAAGGAGAGCAGAGCGAGGCGTGTAGGAGTTGATTTGGTTTTTTATTAGGCGAGCGACGCATGCGGCAGTGAGTGGAGCGAGGCGTCCGGCCGGACGTCTTAATGGTAGCATTGTTGTTTTAAAAATAGCATACAGATACAAAGGATGCAACATAGGTTTATTTATGTGTGGATTCCTATACAATAATTCTTTATTTTTATTGAGCAATATGTGGATGTTAAAGCCCTCTTAGGCTATAGAGTTTAGCGAGAATTAATACATTTTGCATTGCCACTCACGGAGTCACGGTAGGCCAGAAGTAGGTCTTATAGCATCTCCAATGATCAGCTCTTGTCGTTTGATAGGGCTCCATATCCTCATATAAACATTTCAGATTCAGGTTTCCTGGAGAAACATTTCTCTGAGAAATAGAATTACTTGTAGCATCCGGTTTTAAGAACAAAGCCAGATACACACCATATGTCACATATAACTACAAATAAAGGTAATATCAATAAACAATGCTTAATATATAACATACTTAGTATAAATGATATAACCTTAGACAGCAAACAGCGGAAAAGACAACTCCGATTTTTGGGTGAAGACTCCACTTCCATAGGGACAACTGACTGGTTGATCACAAGCCTAATTCCTCCAAACTCTAGCAATCTGGTACCCATCCGAAAATTTTCCAAAGATTTAAAAAGTAAAGCAAGCATAAGTACATGTCGTACTCAACAAATTTATCCATCTGCGCTGGATGATGATCTCTCATCTAGAGGCATAACCTATACTTTCAAGTGAAACTATAGAGCATATGAAACCTTCGTCTTGCAACTTCTTTAGCTTGGCTACCCCTTAAGAAAAGATAAAGTAGGAGACACAAGAAAGGTAGCTTGCACCTTCTTCTAGATGAGCTAACTAGTATCAAGATGTTCTGACATCCCAATGATACTCTTGTGTATGGGCAAGAACAAGAAACCTGAAATTCCTCGCGAGATAAAAAACAACAGCGCAGTAAAACAGTTGTAACTCTCATTCTGTTAATCCAATGAAGTTGTAGCTTATATCGTTGGAAAGATTATCAAATCCTCCACAACTTCCTTATAGAACACTTTTTCAATTTCTGCAGTTCACTTGGTCAAAAATAGTGCACAAGAGAAACTGCTCCAAGTTCTAAACAGCACAAATGCATCGCCTTGTGATTTTCCTATCTCCATAACCAAAATAGCTATCAGGCCGATTCTTACGCCCAGAGAAAGATATTGAAGTCTACTATTGTCCAGAATTTTCTCATGATTTATGATCATCCCAAATCAGAGATATAAGCCAAAGAGTGTAGGCTGCTCCGAAAAGACAGGATAGGGAGAACAGAAGAAAACCATAACCCAACTATTTATTGCACTGATCCTTATACCTTAGGCCTATAAACTAAATGAAATTGTGGAAACACTCAACAAGATCATTGCAATCATTACAAAGATTCAAAATAATCATAAGCATAATGACAATTCAACAAAGCAATAAAGGTGCACAACTCAATCATTGACTCAACTTACGATACTATTGTTTTTATTACATAAAAGGTACAAACTCCTATTCCTTAAACACGGTGTGGTTGCATGAGCATCTAAGGTAGCATCTCTTGCATGGGAGTGAGAGCGACACATCATCCACTTCATCAATTTCATCATGGGCTTTCTTCGTGTTGCGTGTCACTTATCACTTGCTAGTGGCAGTCCGGTAGTGATCTGACTCTGGCTATTTTCACGGTGTAATTGTTGATTCTTCTGTGGGCAAGATTTAACATAATGTCCTTTCTGTTGGCAATGATAACACTTTCTCTTAGCTGGATCCTTCGTGATGTCATACTCCACAGAATTGTTGAAGGTTCATCTTTGTTTGACTGGACCGCCTTTTAGCTCACTTGATCTTTCGGGGTTGAAACTCCTTATAGGTGATCGTCCACCCATCTATGCATACCTCTTGTGGAAGGAGTGGAGTAATCTTAGCTTGAGAAACTTCTGACTCTTTAGAGTCTGAGCTTATCTGACTAGGGATTAGAGCTGGATGTGGCAACATAGTAGAACTTGAATGTTGATTGCTTCCCAATTCTGGCTCTAGTGAGACTGCCTTACTCTTCTTATCCACATTAGCTTCACAACTTAGGTTCACCTTGACTTCCCTCTTATTAGACTTGTTCTGAAGACAGGGAAAACCATAATGTTTATAGCACTGACATGGATCCTGACTTCCAAGAGTCTTGCTATGAACACCTTCATTGGACTTCATCTTCTTCCAAGCTTCTGCCACTTGTCTCTTCACTGGTCACTTTGGTATGTTTGGTTTGACCTTGTGGCAGGCACTGTGGAGACCTCCCATATTGAGTCATTCCTTCTAATACTTGTTGTTGCATAGCTAAGAGCTTCTCCTTGTCGAATGCAGTCAAGGACATCGTAGCTTGGTCCTCCTGATCTCTGATTCTGGTGGTCTCCTCATTACGACCCATCTATATAGACAAAGAGAGAGGATTGAGAATAGAGACAAAGTTTTCATAACAGAACAGAGGCTGAAGTGAGCATAACTTTTAGAAAATAACAAGGTTGGGGGGAAAACAAGAAGTAAGCAAAGATAAAAGCATGCTAAAATGTTCAGTTCTATCTTGGCTTGCATCCTACAGTCAGCATTGCTCTGATACCACTTTGTAGCACCCGGTTTTAAGAACAAAACCAGATACGCACCATATCTGAGCCTAAGAAGTCAAATCTCACATATAGCTACAATTAAGGGTAATATCAAAAGACAATGCTCAGTATATAACGCACTTAGTATAGAGAATATAACCTTAGATAGCAAACAGCGGAAAGACAACTTCGATTTTCGGGTGAAGACTCCCATTCCACAGGGACAACTGACTGGTTGATCACAAGCCTAATTCCTCCAAACTCTAGCAATCTGGTACCCATCCGGGATTTTTATCCAAATATTTGAAAAGTAAAGCAAGTGTAAGTATATGTCGTACTCAACAAATATAACATGGGGTTCATGAGGCTCAAAAGGCTGACATTGGTTTAACTGCGATTAGCTTTTATTTGTCACAATTTTAGCAATTGAGTAGCAACAAGTTCATCCACAAGCCGATATAAACACATGATCTGGTAAACATGAAAATAGAATCGGGAAAGACGTTTTGGACTACGTACTTTGTTTCGGTTTAGATCTAAAATACGTTTTCACTTATTTACAGATTTGCCACTGATTTTGTTTTAACCATAACTTCTCCGTTTTAACTCTGATTTGACCCGTTCAACTTGCGTTAGGTTCGTAATTTCATAATCTACATGTTCATACTACTGTTAAGTATGTTTTCAACTTTTGAAATTTGAGGTTAGATTTAATCTATTATTTTAATAAAGGAAATCTTGTTTATTTCATATCTTCTGCGTTTTAGCTCCGTTTTGACCCGTTCAAGTTGCGTTAGATTTATAGCAATGAGGTCTACGCGTTAGTAACCGTGGTTACTATGTCACTATTTCTAGAATTTCTAGATTTAAACTCTAATTTGAATAATAATTATGCAACTGGATTTTATAGATAAAATATAATTTGTTTTACTTTAGTTTTATAATTCAAATCTAAATTTGATTT